AAAAATAAGAGGCCAAGACAAAACAAAAAGACTAGAAAAAGTTATTGGATGAGAGACAATTATTAAACTTAACAGCAATGGGAGAAACCACAAAGGAATGGATAAGTTTGAATACATTCAAAAAAGGAAAAAAGTCCAAATGACATAAACAAGAAAAGCCCAAACCAATTTTAAAAGCCATACTAAAGAAAAAAAATTTTTTAACTACAAATGGATGTAAACATATGAAAAGAAGTTTATTCTCATTAGTAATCAAATGCAAACAAAGAAGCATGAGTTAAGAAATGATCCTAAAGCTGTGGCGAGACTAACACTTTCATATCTGCTGCTGGGAATGAATCGTGGTGCAACTTGTATGGAGGAGAATTAAGCATACATATGAAGTATCTTAAAATATTCACACTCTTCAAACCAACAATTCTACTTCTACACATGACTCTTAAGGAAAAAATCTGAACTACTGTGCAAAACACTGTATTAACAAAAAACTGGAAAGAATCTAAATGTCCAAAAGGGACTACTTCAGATAGATAAGAAAATTCTCTTTTATTTATAGAACTGAATATTAAGTAGTAATGTAAAACGTGGCTTACTTCATAATATGGGGAAATAAGATCACGTCAATAAAAAATGCAACACAGAAAAACTACATACAGAATGACCTTTTAACTATTTTTTTAATGTATAGAAAAAAAGGCCAGAAAAAAATGCACCCACTGTTAGAAGAGCTATCTCTGGATGATAAGCTTATGGGAGATTCTCCAGACTGTTTCTGGTATCACCCAAATTTATTTAAATGAATTCATATACTTATAGAGTCAGAAAACAAACCTAAAATTACAAAACCCACAAACCTCTCAGTTGCTCTTCAAACTCAATAAAGTACAGATGCATCGCTTTGGTGGCCAAGGCTCTCTACGCTATATTCCCACTGTTTTTAGGCAGGTATGCTTACCCTCCTTAAGGCTCATCAAAGCGGACTTCCTATGGCTTCCCGAACAAGCCCCACACCTTCTCACTTAAGCATCTCAGCTTGGACTATTTGAGCCACCTGGATCACAATCTCTACCTAGCCGAATTCTAGCATCTTCCAAAGTTCTTGAGAAACACCACCCGAACAAGCCCCACACCTTCTCACTTAAGCATCTTTGAGCCACCTGGATCACAATCTCTACCTAGCCGAATTCTAGCATCTTCCAAAGTTCTTGAGAAACACCACCTTTTCTAAGAAGTTTTTCCTAACTCGGTGCTAACCCAGTCACCCCCATTAGGTGTGATTTTTTTCCTGCTCTTTGACTCCTACAGAAATGATTTTAGCACTCATTCCTCTTGATAGAGCTCTGTTTTGATGACTCTACTAGATTGTAGTCGTTCAGGAAGGGGCTCTATCCTTCTTCGGCGCTTTCTCTAATGTTGACACACTGTTTCCCAGAATTAAGCACATAGTATGTGAGGAACTGAATACGTTATTGTCACAAGGGATTAGTCTCTTTCCTTGGCCACAAGAAGGAGGAAGATAGAAGGGAAAATGTTCCTCATTCGAGGCTCAGCATGAAATTTCTTACAGAAACAATGAGGACAGAAACAGTAGTACTGCTACAACAATTATGGACTTAGATTTTATTCTTTTTGCAGCTACAAATCTATCCATAATTGGTAACTTAATTTCTGTGGAAACAAAAACATGCTCAGAATTCCCAAGAACCTACCCCCCAAGGACGTGTTGGAGTACAGCCAGTGTGTAAGGTAACATACTTGCAAATAATATTTTCCTTTAGGAAAAACATCATGTTTGCTTAAGCCTGCCTTAAGCCTCTTCTGAAACAAAATATTGTTAATAAGAGAAAGGGGAAAATGAAAGACAGAGGAAGGAGGAAAGTGGATGTTCTCAACACCTAACTTCTAAAAAGTAAACTTGAAAGGGAGAACACAGGCAAATCAAAAAACCCTTTTCACCACTTTCCTACTCTACCTTTACCCAGTGCTGTATTTCAGCAAACAGCTGAAACTTTAAGGGGAGAAAGTCTTTAAAGAACTTTTATTTTCCTTTCCAACGCAAGTCTTTAAATTAATTAATATTTGCAATGGCTGTGCAGATAACTCACCCACGTACATTCACACATCCCCAGGTGTGACAAAACCCTCCCTATACTTAATGCCAGACGGTGCTTTAATTTGAAATAACACTGGTCTTTAGGAGACATTTTGTGAGGGCTGCTCTTTGCCAGATTTTGGTGGGGGAGGGGAGATGGTCAGGACAGCTCTTAATATAGACTTGGACTCATCTTCATATGTATGTATTTAAGCATTGCTGTATTCAATCAATGACTATGTATTCAGAGCTGTGATAAGTATACAGAGGCGAGTCAGACCCTGCCCTCAAGGCCCAAAGGCTGCCCCAGACCCACAGACATTCTACTGAAGGAAATGAACAATAAGGAAACAAATGAACAGGAAATTACAGGTTATGGAAGTCCATCTGGAGTGCATAAAAGCAGCAGTGTGGCTGGCCATGTTATTCAAACTGTGGGTCACATTTGTAGGTTGAGATGTCAATTTTATGGGTCATTGTATCAGGGAGTCATAGGTTTTCAGCATAAGTATTCTTTAATGAACTTCTGCTTCAGTTATGTGTGTGCGTGTGTACTAAGTTACAACGTATAATACGTTTCTTACTGTGGGCAGTGGTGAAATCTGTACTAAGCAAGAGGAGTAGTAAAAGATGAGGGTGGAGCTCATCCAGCTCGTGCATACATGGCCTGACAGTGTAGGCCACCATAAAGAATTGGGGTCTACGCTAAACATAGCAGAAAGGTACTGAAGGGTTTCAAGCTGGGGAGTGCCATGATCTAATTAGACATGACGGTGCTGCCAAAAGATCACTAGAGTGAATTCAGAAGACCTGAGCACCAGCCCCGGCCTAGCTACTAACACTAGGGCGTTTGAGCAAATCACTTCATCTCTCTAGAGCTCACTTTCTTCACTGTAAAAATGAGAAGGTTGGACCAAGATGACCTTCAAGATCTTATCTATCGCTAAATTCCATGACTACATCCTGCTTCCTCCCTCGGGCCTAAGTAAATGACCATTAGGGAGAACTAGCTCATTAGGTCAAGTTCTGGGTTACTTCTTACAATGTTATAAACCACGTAGCTCTAAGAGTTACATTTCCACAGAAAGCAATTTTAGAATTCTCTCTTTACTGGAACCAGCTACCTTATTAGAAATGAGATCTCTGGGCTACAAGTGAATCAAGTGCTTTTGCAACTCTCTGGTACAAAGTTTGGAATGTGAAGAAAACTGACAGGGAGGGATGAAAGATTTACTGACTAGGTTATTCCAAACATATTTCTTTATTTGTTCTAGGTCATTAACTGACATACCATCTAGGGCAGTCTAAAGCTGTGGGGAACCTCCGCTCAGCACTAAAATCAAGATGTAGAAGCTGAACTCCTTTCACATAACCAAAAAGACTACTGAGGAAAAATACTGAGAGCCTACTATATGCTAACCCCATGCTACACAGTTTGATATATGCCTTTTCATTTAATTCTCCTAACCTAATTATTCACATTTCACACTTATGGAATCAGGGGCTCAGAGAAGACAAGCAAGCTAGTAAGTGTTAGGGTCTGGATTAGACTATTTATTCCATATTTATAATACATTATCCTACAGGCTTCTGAAAATTACTGTACAAAGATTAAATCATCAGTTAAATACTGGACAGCTCAAGTTATCTGTGACATCTGGACACAGAACGTTCACCCACTAAATCAATTCTGGACTCACAGGTACTTTGCTATGTACATGTGGGATAAAAAGATAAGAACTCGCTCCAGCACGAGAGGGCCTACTTCGCGGGGAGCCTGCTGGGTTGTAGGAAGTGCAATTAGGCAAAATGGCCGAGGAATTCAGATCCCCAATTAAGCACACGTGAGTAGTATTACAGCTGTTTCCAGGTTCATTTTCTAGATTGTTGCTCGTGAAAGGTCATTAGAGGTACAGTGTCACCTGAGCTGAGGGCCTGACAAGTGTCCTGCAAGTTCCATAAACTCGAGACGCTCAAAACACTTCCAACTTACGTTAACCCTTTAGGAATCAATGGACGCATCACTTGCCCAATTGGAGCAGTGTCCTTGCCATATTACGGAGAGTAAAACCTGGGAAACGTGGAGGGCACGGTCCCTAACCCCGTGAGGATCGAAATGGTCCCTAATGACTCCCGCAAACACCCCAGCAAAGTTGGGGACGCTCATTTCACACCTGCCTCAACACCGAGATTGCGGTACCCACCTGTCACATACTCAGCTTCGAACCTCCGTCGGACGTCAGAGATGAGCTTGGCTTTATTCTGGGCTTGACACTATAAGGGAGACACGAAGGGACGCTTAGACATTACGCGCTCCATCCCACTTCCCCGCTGCCCAGCCCACCTGCACCTGGGCGCACGGCCCCCGAGGCTGAGGCGGCTTCGGGGTCCGAGTTGGAGGGGCTCGGCAGCGGTGCGGTCGGCTCCTCACCTCGGCCATGGTCGCGGTCGTGGACGTTATTGCAGTTGCCGTCGCCACTTCCACGACTGCGGTCCGACTATCTCATCACAGGGCAAGCCGGCCCGGAGGTAAAGAGGGAAGGGCGGGAGGTGGAGGCGGTCGCGTGACAACGGAAGGCGGGCAGCAGCGCCGCCGCACCGCCCAATCCGGTGCGGCCGCCTGGGAATGGAGGCGGGACCAGGCCCTCAACCTGGCTTCCCATTCACTTCTTGTTCGGGCCCCGCCCCTCGACGTCTCCTGCACTGCGGACCCGCCCCCGCCAACCGGCGGATCGCGGGCGCTTCCCTCTTCAAGCTCAGCCCTGACTAGCTCCTCCTGCTATTCGCTTTCACAACATTCCCCGGAGGCCTCGCCTCCTCAGCCTCCCTTGGCAACCCGGTTCTGGCCGCTAGGCAGGCTCCGCCTTCTCTGCGCTGGACGCAGCCTCCGGCCTGGGCCTCCCAAGATGCAGCGCGCGGGCGGGAGGTTTGGAGCCTCCTGGCGCTGAGCGGTTTTGCGACGTTGGGGACGTGGCGGCTGCGGTGTGCTAGAGCCTCACACGCTGAGGTAGGGCCGGCGGCGTGTTCCCTGACCCAGCCTTCGCCGAGGGGGTGGCGGCGGCGCAGGGTTTTGCTCCCCTAGTCCCTTTATTGCGGAAGAGCGCGAAGGAAGTGGGCTATCCGGGGCCTGTGCCCACCCTTCTCTGGAAGGATAACTAGATTATTCCAAGTGGTTACTCTATTCGAGGATTATTTCGCTTGACACTTTCTTCACCCCTGCAGCATCTTTCTCACTTGGAGGGTGAAATACTTAACAGAGAATGTATCTTTGACATCTTTAAAACAGGTATATAGAGTTAAAAGATGTAAAGCGTCTTACGGTTTATTAATTAAGGAAGTGCTCAGCCGGGCAATTTTGCCCCCCCGGGGGACATTTGACCATGTCTGGAGACATTTTTGGTTTTCGCAACAAAAGACTACCAAGAAGTTGTAAGAACGGTCCCCATATTCCCACCAGCCATAGTCAACCACGATGGACACTCTTTTGCTCCAAACTTTGTTTATATGTTCACTTTTTTTAATGGGGGAAAAATGAACATTGTTTAAAAAGTATTTGAATACGCCCTTGAAATAGCATTTCACATAGGGCTAAAGCCTCTCTCTGGCTCCACTCCCCTACTCTGATATTCCTCTTCTCCAAAATCAGTAGTCATTGGGATTTGGCATGAATCTTTGCACCTTTGCTTTTTTTGCTTTGGACCAGGCTGCCTAGGTTTGAATCCTGGCTCTATCACTTCCTATCTGTAGGCCTTAAACTCCATGCCTCAGTTTCCCCATCTGTAGAATGGGATAATACTGCCTACAGCATAAGGACGTCATGAGGAATGAATTAGTCCAAAGTGCTTAGAACAGTGCCTGGCATAGAGAGAGCAGTCAGGGAATACAGCCATTGCAGGTAAACAAAATATTTCATGCTGTTTTATGTGTTTTGATTTTGATACATAATGTACTACACTATACATTTTTCTTCAACTTAATTTTTTTCATTTGACTTCTGAAGTCTAGCCCCGAGGATACACATCTAATTCATTCCTTTTAACTGTAGTATGATATTCCATCTGTATTCATTCCCCTATTGGTGGTCATTGAAGTTCTTGCTTTTCAAAAAAAAAATTGCAAATAACGGCAAAGTGAACATTCTAGAGCAATGTCTTTGTGCATTATTATGTAGGATTATTTCTCTGGGTTCATATCTAGAAATGAAATTGCTGGGTATATGCATTTCTGTTTACTGCCAAATTGCCTCCCAAAGTCTCCCTTTAATTAAGTACTTGTAATGATTTCCTAACTGATGGCTCCTCCTCCAATCTCAATTCACTCCCCCATCTTCAACACTGTCACCAGGATCTTTATTATTCAGAAGTACAGCACTGTCACCAGGATCTTTATTATTCAGAAGTACAACACTGTCACCAGGATCTTTATTATTCAGAAGTACAATCCTGTGATTTCTTTTTTTTTTTGTGGTACGCGGGCCTCTCACGGTTGTGGCATCTCCCGTTGCGGAGCACAGGCTCCGGACGCGCAGGCTCAGCGGCCATGGCTCACGGGCCCAGCCGCTCCGCGGCATGTGGGATCCCGCTGGACCGGGGCAAGAACCCGTGTCCCCTGCATCGGCAGGCGGACTCCCAACCACTGCGCCACCAGGGAAGCCCCTCTGATTTCTATTTTTGAAATCTTTCAGTGATTTATCACTGCTTAGAGAAAGCTAGAATTCCTTAGTATGGTATCAAGAACCTTTAATTTAATCTTTCCTGATTCTCTCAGTGGACCACCATCCCCCCACATTCATCTACATTTGAGGTACACTAAGTGTTGTTGGGAAAGGGAAAGGGGAGACTGATTCTGGGCAAGCCCCAACAAATGACCTAGGTATATAGGTAGAAAAAGTTTTAACAGTGGACCCATTCTGTAGCCAAGTTAATATACTTAGGTAAAGAATGTCCTATATGTTGGAAAAATGATATCTATGGGTATTACGCTCATACGTTTATGTTTAATATTATTAGGTGAAGTTTGTAGTTGGGAGTCTTAATTCTATCTTTTTTCCAAGGGTAGAATTCCAAAGACACTTTCCATTGGTCGCAATCTATCGATTGGTTTCTTAAGAGTTTTATAGCTTTCACCTGCAGATAATATAGTGTCTTTTAGGATCTTCCTGAACCAGACTTGTAGTTTATTTAAGAGTTCTGAAATTTATAATGCCAGATGTTATTATTAGCATTGAACGGGAGCATTGTTTATTTGGTGGGAGGCTGGGAGAGAAGGGTGATAATTTGTTGCCCATCTACTATATTTAGCTTAGCATGTATTGTTTTTCTAGTATACTCACACATCTGTTTCCATTTTGTATGTGAAATATATACAGTCAACTTTGATGTGTGGTAATACAGAACAGGAAAAGCTCAAATTAACTACCTAGTATTTTACAAATAATCTGCATCCAAATCTCCCCTCCCTCCTTCCCTCCGCCACCCCCCTCCAGAGCTGAAACAGGAGGTAAAACGTAACTGGTTTGAGTTACCTGTTTTATTCTGCAGCCACTGTTATAAGAGTACCAAGTAAAAAGTCAAGTGACTAATAGGCTGGAATACTAAGCCTGGTGTCCTGATTTGATTAATCAAGGCTTGTTTATATTGGTTTAAGAACCTCTAAATTGAACCTGGGTTTGTTTCCAGATTATTTCTATCTGAAAAAAGAACATTACCACTTATTCCATAGACTTAAAGGTTTGTCTTATGTACATATACTCAGAACTTTTACTTTTAAAAAAGATGTTGCATAGTATAAAATAAAACAGGTATTCACAGATATGTGAATTCAGTAAGCCTTGAGATTACAGAAAGTTTGAGGAAAAAATTTATCTTTATAAATATATTATAGTTTCTAATTTTTAACCCTGAAGATGGTCCATTTAGAATAACTTACCTTAAAAATGTGCATGTTTTTGCAGTAGTATTTAAAAATAAAAAATAATGACCTTTTATATAACAGTTATGTTTTTTAAATCTATTTGAGTCTAAGTCCATGAGAAGAAGTTTGCTTTTTGCCTAGAGCTCATGCTAAAAGCATGTTGGGTTAGGATTATAATAGGATAATAGGATTATAATATAGCAGTGGCTTGCACCCTTTTATCTCTATGTCATTCATATGGTCAGTACACTGTTTCGCATCTGTCTTTCCAGGTAGTAGTTTAGGGATCATAGATCGTAGATCTGGGGGGTGTGGGGGAGTGGCGGTAAGTGCATGCAAAGCTTTTAAATTAGGGGACAGTTACCCAGTCAAGTTTGTGTTTTAGAACAATAACTGAGGTAGCATAAATGAATGGATATATTGCAGGGGAGAGAGACTAGATTAAGGAAGACTGATTAAAGGGCTTTTATTGCAACCTAAATGAGAGATGAAAGCCTGAATCATCATAGTGGCAGTTGGATCAGAGAGTTGGAAGAAAGAAGTTTCTAAGTTAAGGAACTTGGTGATAGCATTAAAAGAATAGAATGTAAGGGGCCTGATTTTCCTAACTCATTACTTTATGAAGGTGCAACAATACATACTCCAAAGATTTTTGAAGGGGGCGGTTCTGTGACCTTTTACTTAGTGGTCTTACCACTAAGATCCTCCTTACTCCTGTCACACTTGGGTGTTGGTGAACAAGAGCATTGTGTTGATGACACATTAGTTGTGACATTTAATATTAAAATAACAAAATCCTTTCCTGGACAGAAGGTATTTTTGGTTGTTTTTAGTATTAAGAAATCTGAACACCTTTTGAAGTGAGTAGGTAGTAAAAGACAATGAGTTTTTAGATCTTTACCTCAGAATATATAATTTATATTTATAATATATAATGCTAAAAAAGAATATATCATTTAGTGCTAAAAAAGGAAACTTTCTTAGAAGTCTTCTAAGAGGTCTGAGATGTCTGTGGGAAATTTGAAATAAATTAGTAGTCATACATTTTGATGTAATATAACCAATATGTGTATTTCCTTTCAAGTAAAACGTAGTTTCGTAATTAAAAGCCACACCTTTGGTTACCCTACGTATCTTCTTTACTGATGAAGCTGAAACTACTCTGGGGTACCTGTTGTCCCAGATCTTCGCATGAATTGCTTAACAACAAGCCAGGAAACTGTTTGGCTTCTGCTAGTTTGTATTATGATCTAGTATCTCCAGTTACTTCACTAATACTTCTTGAAATTCTCAAAAGCAATATCATCAATTTGATTTGAAAAAAAACCCCAAATGCCATAGAGGAATGTATTTATCTGTTGCTGCATAACAAATTACTCCCAAATTGAGCAGCATAAAACAACAAACATTTATTAACTTAAAATTTCTGAGGACCAGGAATTTGGGAGCCGCTTAGCTGGGGTGGGTCTGCTCAGGAAAGCTTGACTGGAGCTGGGAGATGGGATCCCTGGAAGGCTCACTCACATGGCTCTTGGCAAAAGGCCTCAGTCCCTTGCTGGCTGTTGGCAGGAAGCCACAGTTCCTTGCCACGTGTACATCTCCGCGGGGCTGCCCGAGTGTCTTAATGATACGGCAGGTGGCTTTCCCCAGTGCAAGTGAGCCAAGGAACAGGTCACTGAGGAAACCACCATGCTCTGTCACCCAGTCTTCTGCTGTATTCTGTTGGCTGGAAGTGAGTCATAATGACCAGGCCTCACTCAAGGGGAGGAGAGTTCCTTCTTGATGGAAGGAATTTCAAAGAGATTTGTGAGCATATTTTATTTTATTTTTTTGGCTGCATTGGGTCTTCGTTGCTGCGCGCGGGCTTTCTCTGGTTGCGGCAAGCTGGGGCTACGTTTTGTTGCAGTGCACCAGCTTCTCATTGCGGTGACTTGCTGCGGAGCACGGGCTCTAGGTGCGTGGGCTTCAGTAGTCGCAGCACGTGGGCTCTAGAGTGCAGGCTCAGTAGTTGTGGCGCATGGACTTAGTTGCTGTGAACATATTTTAAAACCACATGTATTTGGAAGTTAGACAATAAGGTGCAGCATCTCCAATTCGAATGTAGATGCTGACTAATCTAGTCTGCTTTTAAGTAGAATTGCCTCTAAATCAAGTCATTTCAATAAAATGCAGGCTATATTAAGTTAAATTTATAGATTAATGGTTCAGTGACTTTTTTTCTAATTGGACTATTGGTAGATTTTTATATTAAAAGAACAAAACCTAAGCCTTTGGAGTTTGCTTCTCATTTGAAAGAGGAAAACAATATTACTTCCTTGTACATGACCTAGTTTTCATTTATTTCTAAAGTACTTTATTTTCCTGGTTTAAGTGATCCACAAATAAGAGAAAAGAGAGAGTATGAGTTAGAGTTACTTATAGTGAGTGACGAGAGACATTTCAGCATTCACAGACCATTAAGTATGCAACTATTCTGATGTTTCTAAGATTAGGTACTGTATGAACCAGAGCCAGCCATGATGATGAGAATGATAGTAGCTAGCCTTTATTAGCACTTTCTATGTGCCAGCTTCTATTTCAAGTGAGTTATATTAGCTAATTCCAGCACCTTGTGGGGTAGATACTGTTACTACACCCCATTACATAGATGTGGATGTGAGGCATAAAGGGGTTAAGAAACTTGCCATAGATCACACATCTAGTACAAGGCAGGCCCAACATTCAGACGGTGTTCTAAAGGTGCACGGTTCTTAGCATATGCTAAGCATTTGGTAACTGTTACAGGAGTGACTCAGCATATATAGCCACTGGATAAAGAGACATCAACATCTTTTTCTTACATGTTTTCTTACATGTGTTCAGTGGAGGGGGTGTTCCTTTGTTATGTGTTCTACTTTACTAATTCTCTCAAGTTGTCTTTCTTAACCAGTGTTCAGAGTAAGGGAATGTGTGCCAGGACAGTGTAGTGGTTAAAAGTGTAGGTTCAGGAGGCATTGGGCCCCTCTTCCAAATCTAGTGCCATTGCTGATTAGCTTTGTAAGCTTGGAAGAATTTTCTGACCTTTGTTAGACTACGGTTTTCTTGTTTATAAGATGGGATAATAAGAATACTTACTTTAAAAGAGTAGTTGTGAGCCTTAAGTGAAATAATGCATGTATTGTACCTGGCATATAATAAGCGTGAATAATTGATAGCTATTATTTAATTCTTGTGTTCATTATAACAATGATACTCTATTTTAATCCTCTGTTTTATAGAGGATCCTCTATTTTATAGATCCTCCATAATCTCTATTTTCTTCTACTTTGAATGAGGATAGTGACTTCCTTAGGGTGTAAAACTGCACTGTTTTTGCAAAGTAAGATTTAAGATTTATTTCTGTTACGCTTATGGAGATTTTTTTAAAGCCATGTTACAGCATCTCCTGTTTTTCTTTCTGGGCTTTCATTTTGGCCATCGAGTCCGTTCGAACTCCTTTCTCAGGGAAGCAGGAACCCAAGCGCCTGGTCTGTGGGAGTGCTCTAATTTGAATCCTTGACTGACTGAGTTGTCATTGTAGAGGGACTCAGGCCGACAGGGAGAAACCAGATTAGGTTGGTAGGTTTGAGAGACAGAAGTAGAACCCTTAAGAAATTCCCTGAGCCAGAGAGAATGTGTGCAGTTCCTTATAATAGAGCACCCACACCTTTTAATAGATGCTGTTAACACATTCGGTTATCTTTTGTGGTGTGGTTATTTGCATTCTTTGCAAACTGTGTTTTTTAACGGCTGTACAGAAATAACATTTGGGATACAGTTTTTTGATAAGTGTGACGTTGTTAAAATAGCATAAAAAGCTTAAAAATGTCAAAGTTTATAGTTACCTATGTGATGGTTCTCTAACAAAAACATGTGTTTTCTTTTCAGCTCTGCCTACTGGATGGCAGTTTCCCTCATTTCATTTTTAGGTTTAGAAGCATCAACTGGAATCGATTTACATTTGAAAATTGGACTTGATACTGTGACTTTACTAGCAAACAAGCAATGTCATCTAATGAACAAGAAAGGCTCTTCTGTTATAATGGAGAAGTCCTTGTTTTTCATTTGTCTAAAGGAAATTTTGTAGATGAAGGGCCTACAAAAACAACTGTGTTACATGTCCGAAGAATGGTATTTGACAGAGGAACAGGAGTATTTGTTCAGAAATCCACTGGATTCTTCAGCATAAAAGAAGAATACTCTCATTTAAGAATTATGGGTTGCGACTGTGTTTCAGATTTCAGAACTGGAATTAATCTGCCTTATATTATGATACAGTGCATTAAAAAGAGTAACGTTTTCAGATATTTTCTACTATTTCTTCACAGTACCAATAAATTTGAAAAGCGTTTGAGTTTTAGCCTACACTGTGAGTTGAAGGACAGCATAAGGGTCCTTAATGGCCCTTTAGTTTTATGGAGACATATCCAAACATTCTTTTATATCTCTTCCCAAACTGGCAAAGTTGTTACTATGTCCATTAAGTTTTCCTCTATTGAGTGGGCAGGGGAGATTGAAAATGTAGGTATGGTTTTGTTAGGACGAAAGAGATGTAACTTATCTGAGGAAGGATGTACCCCACAGCCTTCAAAATCAGATTATGCAACTTGGAATACTCAATTTTGTGTATACTCGCTCGAAAGGGAAGAAGTAATAAGTGATACATACATTATCCCTCCTGTTTATACCAGTGTGATAACATGTGTGCATGTCTGTGCAACTGAGATTGTCAACAACCGGTTAAGAATGTCGCTGATTGCTCTTACTCAAAAGAATCAGCTGATTTCATTCCAAGATGGGACTCCTAAAAGTGTGTGCCAGCTTCCATTTGGAGATCCTTGTGCAGTTCAACTTATGGATTCAGGTGGAGGAGACCTCCTTTTCGTCATATCCTTTAGGGCCAGTGATGCTTGTGCTGTTTGGGAAAAGAACTTTCAGGTATGGTACCTTTTTTTTTTAAAGAAGATGTTGGGGGTAGGAGTTTATTAATTAATTAATTTATTTTTGCTGTGTTGGGTCTTCATTTCTGTGCGAGGGCTTTCTCTAGTTGTGGCAAGCGGGGGCCACTCTTCATCGCGGTGCGCGGGCCTCTCACTATCGCGGCCTTTCTTGTTGCGGAGCACAGGCTCCAGACGCGCAGGCTCAGTAGTTGTGGCTCACGGGCCTAGTTTCTGCGCGGCATGTGGGATCCTCCCAGACCAGGGCTCGAACCCGTGTTGCCTGCATTAGCAGGCAGATTCTCAACCACTGCGCCACCAGGGAAGCCCCAGGTATGGTACTTTTAATCATTCAGTTGGCATAGTCTTAGACCTACTAAGCATCCCTGTGCTTCATAGGGTTCATCCTGGAGTCTTATTATCCAAATCAATTTTTAGTGCTGCACTAAAAAGAAAATCATATATGTTACATCAGTCCTTTTTCTTAAAATTATCTGAATATTACTTGATAAGGATTTTGCCTTGTGATTTTGAGTCACAAAACCCTTGAGTTTTGGGGAATACATAAATACATAACTACAATTATTATCTATTTATTTGTCTTTTACTATAACTTTTTAATTTTCATAAGTTGGTAATAATTGGCTTTGTATTTTTACTTAGAATAAGATCATAAACCTTTCTAGAAAACTCAAATCAGTTGTTGAGCTTTTTTTATTTTTATCTATTTATTTTTTTTGCGGTACGCCGGCCTCTCACTGTTGTGGCCTTTCCCGTTGCGGAGCACAGGCTCCGGACGCTCAGGCTCAGCGGCCATGGCTCACGGGCCCAGCCGCTCCGCGGCATGTGGGATCTTCCCGGACCAGGGCACGAACCCGTGTCCCCTGCATCGGCAGGCGGACTCCCAACCACTGCGCCACCAGGGAAGCCCAGTTGTTGAGCTTTTTAAAAGTTGGTCATTATTGTTTTAAAGTTAAAATGAAATCTAGAGGAATTCCTTGAAGTCTATCATTGTCCCTTTAGAGACAAATAATTGTTCTCCAGAGAAAAGTGATGGGTTAATTTTTCTAAAAACCATTGCTTAGAGAATGTTACATTTTGAAACTCAGAGTTGTCCTTTGAGCAAGCATTCACATTTTATCTACATGTAGTCATGTCTTTTAATGTAAGGTTGGGAAATTGCTTTAAAATACTCACTGGTATTGAGCATTCAATAACAAGTAAAAAGGTGCAGAAAATGAAAAGGAAGTTGGAGGATTGTAACTGTGCGTCTCCGATAATATTTCTCTGACCCTGGTGTTTTGTTAACATTGCGTCCTCCTGGCTTAAGATGTTTATCAGCACATTCATTTATGTGATATGAAGTGTTTATAGTTTAAGATGTTCCAAAGTAGTTTTTTTTAATACATTATACAATCTTTTAAGTTCCTGTGCTGCTTTGGGAAAAAAAGCAGATACTGCCTTACTTGATGTGCCCTGTCCATTTAATTAGAAGCTCAATTAAATTTTCTATCACAGGACTTCCCTGGTGGTCCAGTGGGTAAGACTCCGTGCTCACAATGCGAGGGGCCCGGGTTGGATCCCTGGTCAGGGAACTAGATCCCGCATGCTGCAACTAAAGATACCACATGCCACAACAAAGAAATTGTTTCTGCAAGTTTTGACAAGTATTCTATGTAGCAGGCATTTCAAAATTGAGATCATTGTCAGGTATATGTGAAACAGATAGTGGTGTGTTGTAGATAGAAAGAGGCTAATATATTCTAGAGGTGCGATGTCTTATACGGTAGCCACTAGCCGCAGGTGGTGATTCAACATTTGAAATGTGGCTGGTGTGAATTAGAACATGCTGTCCATGTCAAATACACACCAGATTTCAAAGGCTTAGTAAAAAATGGAAATAAAATATCTCTTTAATAATTTGTATTGATTATATTGAATTGAAATAATATTTTAGATAGATTAAATAAAATAAGTTTCACCTTTTTACTGCGACTAGAGAACTTTCTTTTATTGGCTACTGGAAAATTTAAAGTTATATATGTGCCTTGCATTTGTGGCTCACGTATATTTCTTTTGGATGACGCTATTCTAGAGCTAGAGATTGCAGGCGTGTGTGTGCATGCATGCGTGCACAGCTCTATGGTGTTTGCGTGCTGAGCACATTCTTATTACCAGTGTCTCTTCACATGGTTCATTATAGTCCATGCTATTCATGGTGGGGCAGTGGGAGGAAGGGAGGATATGAGTTTACAGCTTTCTCCCTGCATGAGTGAAAAATCACTGCTTTGGAATTAACCTTATAGGGGAAAGATTGATATTTCATTATATAGATTGAGAGTCTTATGTTCTTGCTGTAATGCAGGCTACCCTCCACCTAGAGGATGATGTATCCATGCGGGATTCTAAGTGGGAGTTTCAGCTTTTCTGCCTGAGGGAGAAGGGATTTCTGATCCCCATGGTGTTAGTTTTCTAGGGAACCAATCTGGAAGCTTTCAGCTTTATGGATCTTTAAGAAGTTGTCTTCTGTTTTAAACTTGGAGTCTCACGTTCTTGTATAAACCTAAGAAATCATTTCATTAGGCTAGGATGATTCTAGGTGCCCTACTATTAGGATCCCTCCCCTTCTGTGCCCCTCATAATGACTGTTCTGTCCTACCAGAGTTTAGGGTATTAATTAATTTTATATGGACTCTTAAACGTTATTCTGCTTTGAGAGCTCTTAAAGTGTTTGCTAGTACCGTCTAGTTACCTAATGCCACTGAATTCCTTGTTTAATTGGTTTGATCATAAATACATATCCACTAAGGCTTATGGGAGTGAGGGTCATCCTTAAATTAACCGGTTAGAGAAAGAATCTTCACTAGAGTTAGTCATGAGAAGTGTTAGAATTTATAAATTATAAAATTTTAATATACAAATCAGGAACGTGACAGTCCCTGGACAAATGTTGATAAAGAAATGTCAGTACCTTGCTATTTATAAATTGATGACTGCTTATGTCTTCTCATCTCCCAATATCTTTATTTTAGTTTAGTTTTCAGTGTTTACCCTACCATTTTCATGGCTTGTTTGTAAGACTGAAGATGACAAATTAGAGCTACGTGCAACAAAAGGATTTAGCTTACTTCACATCTGATTTTTTTCTTTCTCTATTCCTTCTTTAACACTCTCTTTCAGGTTGCTGCTAAGTGGGAGAAAGTTAGCTCAGTACTGATAGATGACTTTCTTGGAACTGGAACTGAACAAGTACTGCTACTTTTTAAGGACCCCTTGAATTCAGATTGCCTCAGTTCCTTTAAAATAACAGACCTGGACAACTTAAACTATTCAGTAAGTTCTGTTTACTTTTTATGCATTACTTAAGAATATTTTAGAAAATTTGAGCACTTTAAAGCTTTTGACTTACCCTTTAAATATTTTTGATTTCATACTTAAAGTAAGCTTTTAGAACTTTAAAAATACATACATTGAATCTTTTAAATAGTACATTGACTCTTCTTTCAACAAATGTTATACAAATTGACTTTTTAAAAATATTTATTTTTATACAGCAGGTTCTTATTAGTTATCTATTTTATACATATTAGTGTAGGTGTTTTTGTTATAAATTTGGAATATAGTATATCTGGTATTAACTCAAGTGACAATAATACTGTAAATTAACTATCGTTGCTTCTGAAAAGCACATTTTATACCAATAAACATGATAATATTGGATTAATTAAGGAACAAAATAAAGCGAAACTGCTTTACTAAAAGAAGTAACAGTTCGTAATATCTTAAGATTTTGAGCATAAGGAAAATAATACTCTGGAAGTTTCAGATCTATATAAAACATCTCTGAGCCTCAGGGTTTTTTTTTTTCTGTTTTCTTTTTCCATTAGTAAAATGAGGATAATTCGTATTTTCTCTAGTTATGGGATTTTATAAAAGCCTAGTAAGCTGATTTTTTTTTTTTTTTTTTTTTTTGCGGTACACAGGCCTCTCACTGCTGTGGCCTCTCCTGTTGCGGAGCACAGGCTCCGGACGCGCAGGCTCAGTGGCCATGGCTCACGGGCCCAGCCGCTCCGCGGCATGTGGGCTCTTCCCAGACCGGGGCACGAACCCGTGTCCCCTGCATTGGCAGGCGGACTCTCAACCACTGCGCCACCAGGGAAGCCCAAGCTGATACTTTTTGAAGCAGTATACAAATGTTAGGTGGGTGGTAATAGTGGAAATAATAAGTTTTTTTCTAGTTATGAGAAGATGAGGGGGAAAATATGTATCTTGTCTTTTATATAACAATGTGTATTGTGGCACACTGCCTTTTGGATAAACTTTAATTGTATTTTGTTAATCTTAAGAATTTTCAGTTTCTTTCAAAATTTCAGTTTGAGTGTATTGTTTTATTTATTAGAGTGAATCATTGGATTACAATGAAGATGACTTATTTGACGGCAAAGAGAATTATTTGGTGGTTCCACCTCTGGAAAGAAGATTGAAAGTTAGTGTCTTTGCTTTCTGCTTTTGCTTTTTTGGATTAGTGCTGTTCTAAATGAAGGAAAGAACATTGAAAGAAAGGTCCTTACAGTATAAGAAGCTGAGTGATTGGGAGGGAAAAATATGGTACAGGTATCCCCTGCTTTTTGAAAGTTCGCCTTATGCCACTTTGCTTTATGCCACTTTGCTTTTACGAAAGACCTGCGTTAGCACCTGTTTTTGCTAACAGAAAGAAATCCAAAGAGGACTTTCACTTTTATGAGAAAAGGCGAAAGCGAAAATAGCGTTCAGCGTTTGTTTTGCGATGAGCCGTTATACCTCACGTCCCGAGAAGCGAGAGTAACCCCGCCAAGCTCCTTCCTGGGGACTGAGTTTGGCATCTCAGCATCCAGCTGCCATAGCTTTGACCTGTGTCTGTGAGCACCCGTGCTTTATCTCCCATTTATTTTGTGCATCCCTTAGCAAGATGTGTCCTAAGGTAATTGCTTCTTTGCTTTACATCATTTCATAATGGCTTTCAAAAGGTTTCATAGGCATGCTCTACTTTTGGGTAGTGGGGAAACCTGTATTTCAAAGGATCTATTTCCTTTTTTGGTACCTCTGTAAAAGCTATTATGACATTACTTATAAATGTGTCATCTAAACATGATACCTTTTTGTCGTAAGATTATGTAAATTTAATAAGCCTTATAAGATAAAATAGAGACTGACTTTTGAAAACACATTCTTCCTAGTTTTTAGGATCAGCATACCATAACTCTTTTAAAGGAGCAGCAAATATGATGAATCATGACATGTTCTAAACATGTTCAGTTTACCTTCAAGTTTTCCATACAAAGCTCTCTAAAAGTTTTTGATTTTTTCCCAAATGTACGAAGGTAACACACATTCCCTGTAAAATACTCAGACTATGCCAAGAAATATTCAAGAGATACTCACAATTACCTATGATTCCACTACTGTGATATAACCAGTTTTAACACTTTGACTTGCGTATTCTTGTTGATGTTTTTAATGAATATATACAAGTTTACATGGAAATGTGATTATAAGATGCCTGTTCTTATGTAACCTGCCTTTTTTCATTCATAAAAATTTTCCAATATACAGAAAATTCATAGAATAAAACAGTGATTATCTCTAGTCCCCATGTAGATTCAACTATTGTTACTTTATAAAAAATCACATTTGCCTTATCTGTTTCTGCTTGTGCGTATGTACATGTATTTGTACATTTTTGCAGAACCATTTGAAAGTTGCACATCTTCTAATACTTCACTCCTATGTGTTTCAGCAGGAATCTCCTAAAAATAAAGACATTCTCCTATGTAACCCCGATACCATTATTCACTTAGAAAGTTAGTATAATAATCTCTTAATCTTATTTACTATTCAGTCCATATTCAAATGGCTTCAATTGCCACAAAAATGTTTTTATATGGCTGCTTTTTTCAGGATCCAATCAGTTTACACTTGCACTTGATTATTATATGTCTCATTGGTCTTTTCATCTAGAATTATGCCCTCTCCCCGTTTTGAAAAAAGTGACACTAATGAGGAGGCCAGGCCAGTTGTCCCTCCTTTCTGATTTGTCTGTTTCCTTGTGTTGTCATTTATCTTTTTCCTTTATCCCTGGCAAACTTTTTTGGTGAAGGGCCAGATAGTAAATATTTGTACTTTGCAGGCCCTTTAAAAGTTTTTTTTGCAAGTACTTTAATATTAAAGTGAATTCAGTGAATGCTTGGTGAACACGTATTAGATGTGAATGTAAACAGTAGATAAATAAAACATAATGGACATAGAACCATAAAGGAAAAGGTTGATTACATTAAAAACTTCTTTGCTCCAAACAAAGTAAAATAAATAAAAAGGCAAATTATATAAAAAGAAATTGGAACATATTTGACAAAGGATTAATTTTCTTAATATAAATAGGCATTATTCTAAAACAGTATTGAGTTTTGGGGTTTTTTTTGCGGTATGCGGGCCTCTCACTGTTGTGGCCTCTCCCGTTGCGGAGCACAGGCTCTGGACGCGCAGGCTGAGTGGCCATGGCTCACGGGCCCAGCCGCACCATGGCATGTGGGATCTTCCCAGACCAGGGCACGAACCCGTGTCCCCTGCATCGGCAGGTGGACTCTCAACCACTGCGCCACCAGGGAAGCCCTAAAACAGTATTGTTGAGTATGTAAAGTGGTCCAACCTCCTCAGAAGGAAACTTGTTATAGCTATTAAAATGTGAATTGCACATATCTTTTTACTCTTGCAGTTTCACTTCTAGAAATCTGTTCTAAACATATACTTATACATGTAAGCAAAGCTGATTTTACAGGAACGTTTAAGTAGTATTAATAAACAAAGTTCAATCAAAATCTAAATATCCATCATTAGGAGTATGGTAAATATGATATAACCGAACCATGGAATAGTGTGCAGCTGTCAGAAAGATTAAGGTACCTCTTTATACTGATTGTTAAATGATGCCAAAATAATTTAATTTATGAAAGCATGACTTTTAGAAATTCTACTTCTGGTAATATGTCATTTAATTTATTTGGATCAACTTTGATGATAAAAACAACTTAAAATGATAGATGAAATATGTTTTTAATATATTCTTAAAAGCTTCAAAAAGCTGAAAATATAAGAATAAATTAGCAGGCCAAACTCTAAAGGCTGGAACCCAGGGAGGCAAGCAGAACACTGATGCTACTATTGCCCTGGGAGCATTTGTATTTAACATAAAGCACGAGTGCCCTAGTCACCTGGCAGAAGCAACATAAAATGCTCTCTAGGAATACACATTTATCCTAGGTCTCTTCTGAATCTCACAAGTAATTTTTTAAAGAAAATGAGCCACCTACAGAATAACTAAGCACATGAAGAAACAAGGCATCATGATTAATTATTCACAGAAAATAACCATTTCTATAAACTAAAAATAAATTGAAATTTAAAAAAACAGATGAGTTTAACAGTTGACTCAGAGATGTGGAGCAAATAAGCAAACTAGACTGTTAAGAAAATTATCTAGAAGGTATCAACAGAGACAAAGAAGGAAAATATGAAAGAAACGGAGAGGGAAGGCAGGGACGTACGAGAAATAGCTGAGCGTCCATGTTGTTTCAAGTATCCACATGTTACCACTAGCTCTCAATGTGGCTCAAAACATTTCTAAGCGCTGGAAGGCCTTTTAGAGATGAACAAATCTACCCTCTCCGCCATTTTGCATACAAGGAAGCAGATGGAGAGCCAGAAATGTGAGGTGGCTTGCAGAGCTAGAGCTAGAGTTCGGCTCACTGTTCTTTCCCCTATGCATTTTATTTTCCAGCCACTTGTTGGAAGGGATAAGGAGAGGCCAGGACCTTGGAGACACTTGTGCCTAGGTACAGGAATGTTCACAGCAGCATTGTTTGTAGTGCTCCACAGCTGGGCATAACCCAGCTGTCCATCAGCGGGAGGAAGGAGAGGGGAACTGGTGTAGTGAGCCGATGGGATGCTACAGAGCAGTGAAAGGCACGAGCTGCAGCTACTAGCGACAAATAGATGACTCGAAAAGCGATTACATACAGAACGATTCCACTTATAAAAGTTCAGAAGCAGAACACACACACAGACTAAACATATTCTTTAGGAGTTCATATGATGATGGTAAAATGATGAAGATCAACAAGGAAGTTATCCTGAAAGGCCAGGGTAGTGTTGCCTCCGGCAGAGAGAGGTGCTCTATTGGGGAGGGCCCATGGGCTGCTCCTAAAGTGCTGCTTTTTTGACCTGGGTGTGGTTCCAGGGGTATCTACTTCATCATTAGTCTATGAACTGCTTTTTTGTCTTGCAAACTCTTCTGCACGTATGAAAGAGATCACAGTAAGAACAGGAAAGCAACATTCGGTGTCACGCAGTGCAGTGTGCTCCTCTGTTTGGTTTGGGTTAGGTCTTGTTTATGAGGAGGAGAATGAAAGCATACCTTAACATATACATGGAAAAGTTCTGGAAAGGTAAGCAATCTTTTGGCTGTGCAAATGGGATTGAGGGTCTAGGAAGGGAAGGTGAGATGTCTTTTTATGTTGTTTAAATTTGTTATCATGGGCTTATTTTCATAATTTTATAATAAAACTTGTAACAACATAGAATATTTAAGAAGTCTAGTGACACACGATTTATTCCTGGAGTGGGGGTCATGTTGAAGAGAGTAGGGAAGACAGACCACGGATAATTTCTGAGGGTGCCCTCATTGTCATTCTGCCCGTATAGCCTTCTCTTCCACTCCCTGCCCCTCCAGCAGCCTCACACTTGGCTCTCCACCCCAGACAGGTACATCTCACGGCCTCACAGTCGTGAGTTACTCGGCCAATGAATGATGGGACGTGAATGACGTGGAGCCCTCGGAGGTAGGCTAACAGATGAAGTTTTAAAACGTTAGGTAGACACTTGACGTGCTTTGTGCACTGAGGGAAGATAGAATTCAGTCTTTACTCTCCAACTTCTATTCATTGATAAAAGGAAAAAGAATTTATCTGCCTTAAAATGTAATTTAAAAGAAAGGCAAATACAGGCTGCATCTTGTTTTTTTTAGTCTAGAAGAACATGTTATATTAAAAGCTGAATTAATACTTAAACAGTCTCAGATATCCACCTGAAATGAAGCAGCTTCTAAATGTTCAGTGACGCGACTCTTTTTAAATTTTCAGGAGTAAAATATATTTCATGAATGTTTCATCCTTAGTGCTGAAATCTATTTATGTAGTATAATAAAAGGAACGGTTTGCTGTATGCCCAGTTCAGAGCCAGTTTTTACCCCCCGATAGTTAAGACTGGACCCGAGCACTGAGTTTATTTGCACAACAATTAACGTGTGACAGTTACATGTTACCGTTAAAATTTTGCTGTAAAGGTCATATGAACAGAGGATTTCAGGCAGTATCAAATCAAAGGTAAGCATTTCTGTTCATAATGATACGTCTTGCTTTTTGAAGCAGAAATTATTTCAACAAGCAAAACAGTTTTCTTGTTGGAGTAGGAGTGTTGGTAGGCCTTGCTTTTTATTAATATTGATTGGACTTATTCATATTGATTCATTACTTAACTCACTAGTGAAACAGATGCAAATACATTGGCATTCTCTCAATTTGATATGTAAACTATTATAATTATTTGCTGTGTTTATTTTCCTTTGTAATTAGAGACTCAAAATTTGTAAATAGTTTTGCTCTGACACGTATTCTTTACTTGTCTATAGAAAAATGAATTAATAAGCAAATTTGGAGAAAATACTTACTGAATTATTGGTACGTTCGGTTTCATTTGAACTTACGTCTCTGGCAATGATTTTTCTTTATACTCTACAGGTTGGTTTGGTTTCTGTTCAGGAATTACAGCAGCATCTCTTGCTTAAGGAAAAAGTTATTTCAAAATCTTACAAGGCTTTAATGAACCTGTTTCAAGGGAAGGATGATAGTACATCAAGTGCAGAGGAGGTAAACTTGATCATGTGACCGTTTTATCATTTTATGAATTGAAAACCTATAAGCTATTGAAGAGTTCTTTAAATTAGAATATTGGAATATATTAGAAAATGCTGCACAATGGATCAAGAAGCAAAGTGGCAGGGATTCTGTAATGGTGGGCTTTTATGACATTGAAAACTATTTGGTTAAAAAGCCAATATTTTACCAATTTGCAAATTGTTCTGTAGGATATTAAAATCTCAGTTATCAGGAACCTCGGGGAACAAGTCCTTTTGTTTAAACAAGGTTTAAATATTAAACTTTTTTTTTGTATAGTTTGAATAGAAATTACTCCTAAGTGAATTACAGTTAACCCTTGAACAACATGGGGGTCAGGGGCGCCGACCCTACACGCAGTGAAAATCCACAAGTAACTTTACTGTGGGCCATCTGTATCTCTGGTTCCCCATCTGCAGATTCAAGCAACTGGCGATCAAGTAGTACTGTAGTATCTACTATTGAAGAAAATCCACATATAAGTGGACCTGCGCAGTTCAAACTCCTTTTGTTCAAGGGGCAATTGTATATGTTTTCTGACTTCTTAAACAGAATATACTGAGTATTATTTTACCTTGTATTAATGGTGACATAATTTCATCATTAATATAATTATTCTTTTAGTCTGTTGCATGGTTCATTTCTAAGGATATTTATTCCTCTACTTAATGTCCCTAAATTGCTATGCTCTTCTAGTCCTCATATCTGCTTTTTATAATTTTACTCTAGTTTCCCTTGTGGTTGACCATCATAAGAACCTCTTCAGGTACCTTGCAGTTACTTGTGCCAGTATAGTAATGTAGAAAGTGAGCAAAAACTGCTTTGACTTCATAAAAAATAGGATTTATGCACATTTGTTCCCTACAGAGAAAGATAGCATAGCAGAGTTACAGATAAATCAAGAAGAGCTGGACATAGATACACTTGAAGTTGCATTTTCTTCCCTCAAGTCACTTTAGTGCCTTGCTTTGACTCCCTTTAAGATTTACTGTTCTTGTAATGCTCTTTGCCTTGTGTCTGTATTTCGGTCTTAGCCATATGATCATTTTGCCCCAAAATATGATTCCATTAACGTAAAAAACAAAAGCACATCGTCTTGCATTTCTGTATTACTGTTCTCATCTCCTGGGAAACCTCATGCGAGTCCTTGTAGAAAGTCACTGTTCAGAGTCTTCCCATTTCCCTTCCCCACTTGACCCCGGTGATTTTGCCGGTGTTAGAAAAGGGGAAGAAATGTTACAAATTAGTGCATTGAAGCCACTGCGTGCAAGGCACTGTTTTGGGCCCTTTACATTGTTAACTTTAAGAGCAATTCTGGCAGGTAATAAAAATTTCTGCGGGTTTCAGGTGAACAGCCTGCCTCAAATCTCACAGCTACTGGCAGAAGTGTCAGATTCCTAGGAACATGTTTCATTCACTGTAATGTAAGTGCCCATATCTTTTTTCAGTAATTACCACATAGAGGGGCAGTATAGAGTAATGGTTAATGTGCAACATGGGCTCTGGAAGCAGTTGCCTCTGGTTCAGATTCCAGCTCTGAGTCTTGCTAACTGGGTGACCGGGGGAGGTACCTAACCTCCCTGTGCCTCAAGTTTCCTTATCTGGAAAATGTAGATAATAATACTACTGACCTAGGGTACTAGAGTTATTGTGATGATTAAACAAATTGACGCATGAATGGCGTTCAGAACAGTGCCTAACATATAGCAAGCATTCAGTAAGTGTTGTGTATTATTATTATCATTACTCCTCCTCCTATTTCCATTTCTATTATAAATCCATATGTGTGCGGAAATAAGTGAGTGGCCTGGTCTTTAAGAAGAAAATTTTGGCATCAACTCTACTAGAATTTTTTTTAAATAAGGAAAAATAAAAGAAGAAAATTTTAGCAATAATCGATCAGCTGTCCTAAGATAGTTTAATCACTGTTATTCATACAAAAGTTTCCAGTTACAGTTTAGAGTTAGTCACTGCTAAAATAAAGATTGGATTATTCTCAGCATGCCTTGAGCACATATTGTGAGATTATTTTTCAAAATGGACTCCAGGTTTACATCCCTGCTGGCTCTGTGTTGGGTACCCAGAGCCCTGTTTACAGTCAGGCCATGCTTCTTAATCCAAGTAGATGGTTAATTATATGTTTTATAAGTTTTATTTTAGTGAATTATGTATAATCTATAATATATTATTGATGATAATTTATTTTTAAATATGTAAGCCATAAGGCCCAGCCAAAAGCTGGTTTATATTATTTTTTTTAGTTTTGATACATTTGGCAGGTTTTTTTGTTGTTTTTTTTTTTGTAATCAGTTATTTAAACGTTTTTCCATAAGGAATGTCTTGCCACTCTTTGTGGTGAAGAAGAAAATCCTGTCTATACCTTTGATGAAAAGTTATCAGATAATTTTCAAGATTCAGAACAGCTAGTAGAGAAGATATGGTATCGTGTAATAGAAGATAGCTTGGTTGTTGGAGTGAAAACCACATCTTCTTTGAAGGTGTAAGTAAATTCTAACATGATAACATTATCTTGATGCTCTACAACAGCACTGTCCAACAGAAATATAGTGCATGGAGGTGTTTCATTCTAAATAACTACCAAAATCGACTCTTTTAAAAACTTAGTAGTTTTTTTTTTCTTGTTTAAGAGGAAAGGAGAAAAATCTACCTCAAAAATAAAATACAGGCATTACTTTACCTTTCCTTTCTCCTAAAAAAATTACTTCCTTAAGTCCAGCATATTTATAATGTCTTTGCTTTCCTATTTCAAGAGAAGTGCTATTACAGAATCTTTAAAAATGTGTTTGGGCTTCCCTGGTGGCGCAGTGGTTGAGAGTCCGCCTGCCGATGCAGGGGACACGGGTTCGTGCCCCGGTCCGGGAAGATCCCACATGCCGCAGAGCGGCTGGGCCCGTGAGCCATGGCCGCTGAGCCTGCGCGTCCGGAGCCTGTGCTCCGCAACGGGAGAGGCCACAACAGTGAGAGGCCCGCGTACCGAAAAAAAAAAAAAATGTGTTTGGCTTTTACACTTAATTTTCTGATATATTTTACATTTGAAATGATGTTTCCTAGGAAAGCAGAGAATAAAACTTTTTGGTTGTTGTTTGTATGGCATTTAATCATCTGTTTGATTTTAAAGAATGAGCTTTTACTCTGTATTTTTTACAGGTCCCTGAATCATGTGACTTTATCGCTGTCAATGGATCAAGCCCCTAACTCCAGCTTTCTGCTCATTAAGTGTCAAAGTAGGGTGATCAAGTTGAGTAGGAAATCTTCCCCAGTACCAGGCTCAGTGCCATATGAAATAGGATCAGAGGTAAAAAAAATCAAGTTGAGTGTTGATAGTGAGGAAGAGGAAGAGAAAGAGGAAAGCGTTGTTTTTGTACAACCATCTGAGAAAGAGTATGTGCAGATGATTACTGCTGTAACATCTCTTTCGCCACTTTTAGCATTCGGTAATTTTTGTTGCATTGTGCTGCTACAAATTAGAGAGAGAGAGAATGGTAACCGTTCTGCAACTCGTTATGTTCAGTGTGGCAGAATTGCTTTAAGTCTAGAAGATCTTTCAAGTGGGAAATACCTGCTGACATTTCCAAAGAAGAAACCTATAGGTAATTTTTGTGGGTCCTTTTTAATCATATACCTAATAGAATCAGAAAATTTTAAGAACTCCCTTTATGTGATAATGGGCAGAGTTTAATGACAGCACTTGTGACATGTTTTTGCCATAGAACACATGGAAGATCTCTTTGCGCTTCTCGCGGCCTGGCAGAGAGCTTGTTTTCAAATCATATCACCCAGCTATGCTCTGACTTCAATGAAGGTATGGCTCTTAGAACACATGGAATGTGAAGTTATCAAAGAATTTCCAGAAATTTGCTTTTGCAAAAGGCCAGGAAGCTTCTATGGGACACTCTTCAACTGGAAACAAAGAACACCATTTGAAGGGATTTTAATAGTCTATTCCAGGTAATGCACATCAAATTGGAATTGGTCCAGGGAAGTGCGTGTGTGTGTGTGTGTGTGCGCGCGCGCACCTGCGTGCGTGTGTGTGTGTGTGTGCGTGCGTGTGTGTGCGTGCCAACAGGGATCCCCGTGGTAGTGTTCTATACCACTGTGGGACATGTCCAGGTCATCGCCTGGTACAACATGAATGAACAGGTGGTCTTATTTAGAAACTGAAGCCGTTTTGATTTTATGTTTGTTTTTGGCTTTTTGGTGGGGTTGATTAGGGCCTAATAATGACTTTAAGATTTCCCCTTACTGCTCCCCCACAGTGAAGTTTTAAAAATATAATTTTGATCTTATTACTCAGAAAAAGAACTTTAATCAGGAAGCAACCTGATTAATACTAACTGAGTTGGTTTAGGATATGTATACGGCTGTTCCTCTGTATCCATGGAGGATTGGTTCCAGGACCCCAGTGGACGCAAAAATCCACGGATGCTCGAATCCTAGAGGACGGCGTAGTATGGTCCGCCCTCCATACCCATGGGTTCCACATCTGCGATTCAACCAACCACGGGGCTGACCGTATTTGATTGCTACAGTCTGAATTATGTCAGTGACCACATGAATGCATTATTGGTTCTGATGATTACTAGAGAGTTTAGAAATGAATATTAATTGATTACTACAGTATGTTGTACATGACCATTTTTCACTGTCCTAAGTTGTGTAATATTGTGTTTGGTTTTTTATTCCAGGAATCAAACAGTTTTGTTCCAGTGCCTTCATAATCTCAGCAGTGTTCTCCCTATAAACAGTTTCTTCAAATATCTAAAATTAGGAAGTGAGGATTTCCTAATTGGTCATTTGGGATTAGCTTTGGAGAAGGAATTGGTTATCCTTGGTTCTTTTTCTTCTGCCTTAGTTAAGGTTGAAAGCAACTTGGTGCAGAGTTGTGAAGCAAGCAAAGAAAAGACTAGTGGTGATGTGGCTGCTTTATCAGACATAGAGGAAAGCATCCATGCCTACAGAAAAGAACTTCAGAGAGAAAAGAAGCAAAAGTTGGGGACGAACCTAAAAGTGAGTGGTGCCCTTTACAGAGAAATGACTTTGAAATTAGCTGAGGTTCAGCTGAAATCAGACCTTGCTGCCCAGAAAGTGACTGATTTATAATTACAATCTCGGCTTGGTTATATTTTAGAATATTTTTCCCTGCCAGAATGTTTTGGTCCTACTTGTTTTCATCTTACATTATATGCCTTCTCTGTAAAAGTAAAGATTGAGGCTTAGTGTAGAATCTTGAAGATGCACAAAATAGCATGCCTTAGAGCAGCACTTCTCACCTAGGCTCATTTTGCCTCCCAGGGGCGTTTGGCTATGTCTGGAGATATTTTTTGGTTGTCAGGAGTAGTGGCAGGTGGGGAGGGCAAGAGAGGGGTGCTATTCAGATCTAGTGGGTTGAGGCGAGGGATGCGGCTAAACTTCCTACACAGCAAAGCACAGCCCCCGACAGGGGAGGGTCCAGCCCAAATGTGAGTAATGCCCGGGGTGGAGAAATCCTGCCTTAGTGTTTCCACTTAAGACATAGGTGATGGAACAATATTTTGTTCTAAATCTTCAAAAAACCTTAAGTAGCCCTTTTATTATACTCTGCTTAGTAAAACCTAGCATATAAAAATGAGCTTCAGGGCTTCCCTGGTGGCACAGTGGTTGAGAGTCTGACTGCCGATGCAGGGGACATGGGTTCGTGCCCCAGTCCGGGAAGATCCCACATGCCGTGGAGCGGCTGGGCCCATGAGCCATGGCCGCTGAGCCTGAGCGTCCGGAGCCTGTGCTCCGCAGTGGGAGAGGCCACAACAGTGAGAGGCCCGCGTACTGCAAAAAAAAAAAAAAAAAGCTTCAAACAGATAAACAAGGTTGTCACGATTCAGAAGTTTCTGTAAATATCAAGCCCCTGTGGAAGTTTAAATGGCAGAGTGTCTAGGTGAGACCATTATGGTGGAAACCCTTATTAAATTAAATTTTCTTAGAAAGCCTCTATGAAATTGTGTAAGTCTATAGGCATGTGAAAATTTGGGGGCATTTCTTTGAAAAGCATCTCTCTTTCAAAAGGCTAAGCGTACCTCATAGGCCACTATTTTTAAAAAATTGAAATTGCCTTTAAGCCATCTGAAATTCCAACTCTAGGCAAAGCTAAAATGTAAAATCCTAACTAAAGTAACTTAAAGAATATGGTACTCCTTAGGGACTGAGAAATTTAAAAATAAGTGAAAATTCACTTCAGTTAAGTGATTTTTTAAGGGGTCCAGTGAGGCATTTCAAAGGGATAAAAATTCAACCTATTCTCTTTTCTTTTTGGAAAAAATAAGAATTCTGAAGTAATAAGAGAATGTCAGGAGAAGGAAAAAGACACAAAAGGATATGGGCCAAAAGGAATGTTTCTGATCCTTTTTGCTCTAAAATCCATAAGTGAGATGGAAGTTTCTGTCTCACTTGAGAGACATAAAGATGATTATAGAAACCGGCATTTCACACTTGCAGCAGTGAAGTGCTAATCCCCCCACCCCGTGCCTCAGAAGTGCTTGTCCCTAATGATCTGGTGATGCAAGTGGGTTTTTGAGAAGCTAGGTTATTACTGTCTTGTCTCGGTTTTTATGGTTGTCCATATAATATGCTACCTCTTTTTTTAGTAATCCATTGCAAATTGAGTTCTATAGCTCTATAGCTCGATTTCTATGAAATTTCAATGAAAAATATTTCAGACTTTCTGGAAATGAAAATGTGATAATTTCAGGATTAATTGTGGAAGTCAGAAAGCAATGTGTGTCAGTAGGTGTAGTGAAACTTCCCATGACATGTTCTGAAAGGACAACCAGGTAGAAAATATAGGAACTAAATTGTAAAATGGAGGCTGTCAAAAAACTAAACAGAATTTGATTGTAATAGTTTATCTATAGAAAAGCTAGGATAGTAAAAAAAAAAATAGCATATTGCTTATTTTTTATTTATAAAAGCAAACAAAAGGTGTTAATCTGTATGTACCAAATAACCTCTTTACAAGTGAGCTTTGTACTCCAGTATAATTTGTTTTTCTTTTTCTTCTTTTTCTTTTTTCACACGCACACACACACACACTGTATTTTATTTTTACAAGAGATAAATAAACTGACAACAAGCATTGTAAATGGATGACTACAACAAAAGCAACAATGATTGCAATTACCAAACACACTCATACTATGTCATAATATTGACATTCAGTCCAGTAATCCTCCACTGTAACAGCTTCTTTACTTTGCGTGAAAATTTTTTTTTAACATCTTTATTGGGGTATAATTGCTTTACAATGGTGTGTTAGTTTCTGCTTTATAACAAAGTGAATCAGTTATGCATATAACATATACGTATGTTCCCATATCTCTTCGCTCTTGCATCTCCCTCCCTCCCACCCTCCCTATCCCACCCCTCCAGGCGGTCACAGAGCACCGAGCTGATATTCCTGTGCTATGCGGCTGCTTCCCACTAGCTATCTACCTTATGTTTGGTAGTGTATATATGTCCATGCCTCTCTCTGTGTCACAGCTCACCCTTCCCCCTCCCCATATCCTCAAGTCCGTTCTCCAGTACGTCTGTGTCTTTATTCCTGTCTTACCCCTAGGTTCTTCATGACATTTTTTTTCTTAAATTCGACATATATGTGTTAGCATACGGTATTTGTCTTTCTCTTTCTGACTAACTTCACTCTGTATGACAGACTCTAGGTCTATCCACCTCATTACATATACCTCAATTTTGTTTCTTTTTATGACTGAGTAATATTCCATTGTATATATGTGCCACATCTTCTTTTTCCATTCATCCAATGATGGGCTCTTAGGTTGTTTCCATCTCCAGACTATCGTAAATAGAGCTACAATGAATATTTTGTTACATGACTCTTTTTGAATTTTGGTTTTCTCAGGATATATGCCCAGTAGTGGGATTGCTGGGTCATATGGTAGTTCTATTTGCAGTTTTTTAAGGAACCTCCATACTGCTCTCCATAGTGGCTGAACCAATTCACATTCCCACCAGCAGTGCAAGAGGGTTCCCTTTTCTCCACACCCTCTCCAGCATTTATTGTTTCTAGATTTTTTGATGATGGCCATTCTGACTGGTGTGAGATGATATCTCATTGTAGTTTTGATTTGCATTTCTCTAATGATTAATGATGTTGAGCATTCTTTCATGTGTCTGTTGGCAGTCTGTATATCTTCTTTGGAGAAATGTCTATTTAGGTCTTCTGCCCATTTTTGGATTGGGTTGTTTGTTTTTTTGTTATTGAGCTGCATGAGCTGCTTGTAAATTTTGGAGATTAATCCTTTGTCAGTTGCTTCATTTGCAAATATTTTCTGCCATTCTGAGGGTTGTCTTTTGGTCTTATTTATGGTTTCCTTTGCTGTGCAAAAGCTTTGAAGTTTCATTAGGTCCCATTTGTTTATTTTTGTTTTTATTTCCATTTCTGTAGGAGGTGGGTCAAAAAGGATCTTGCTGTGATTTATGTCATAGAGTGTTCTGCCTATGTTTTCCTCTAAGAGTTTGATAGTTTCTGGCCTTACATTTAGGTTTTTAATCCATTTTGAGCTTATTTTTGTGTATGGTGTTAGGGAGTGATCTAATTTCATACTTTTACATGTACCTGTCCGGTTTTCCCAGCACCACTTATTGAAGAGGCTGTCCTTTCTCCACTGTACATTCCTGCCTCCTTTATCAAACATAAGGTGACCATATGTGCGTGGGTTTATCTCTGGGCTTTCTATCCTTTTCCATTGATCTATCTTTCTCTTTTTGTGCCAGTACCATACTGTCTTGATTACTGTAGCTTTGTAGTATAGTCTGAAGTCAGGGAGCCTGATTCCTCCAGCTCCATTTTTCGTTCTCAAGATTGCTTTGGCTATTCGGGGTCTTTTGTGTTTCCATACAAATTGTGAAATTTTTTGTTCTAGTTCTGTGAAAAACGCCAGTGGTAGTTTGATAGGGATTGCATTGAATCTGTAGATTGCTTTGGGTAGTAGAGTCATTTTCACAATGTTAATTCTTCCAATCGAAGAACATGGTATATCTCTCCAACTATTGGTATCATCTTTAATTTCTTTCATCAGTGTCTTATAATTTTCTGCATACAGGTCTTTTGTCTCGTTAGGTAGGTTTATTCCTAGATATTTTATTCTTTTTGTTGTAATGGTAAATGGGAGTGTTTTCTTGATTTCACTTTCAGATTTTTCATCATTAGTGTATAGGAATGCCAGAGATTTCAGTGCATTAGTTTTGTATCCTACTACTTGACCAAATTCATTGATTAGCTCTAGTAGTTTTCTGGTAGCATCTTTAGGATTCTCTATGTATAGTATCATGTCATCTGCAAACAGTGACAGCTTTACTTCTTCTTTTCTGATTTGGATTCCTTTTATTTCCTTTTCTTCTCTGATTGCTGTGGCTACAACTTCCAAAACTATGTTGAATAATAGTGGTGAGAGTGGGCAACCTTGTCCTGTTCCTGATATTAGTGGAAATGCTTTCAGTTTTTCACCATTGAGGATGATGTTGGCTGTGGGCTTGTCATATATGGCCTTTGTTATGTTGAGGAAAGTTCCCTCTATGCCTACTTTCTGCAGGGTTTTTATCATAAATGGGTGTTGAATTTTGTCAAAAGCTTTCTCTGCATCTATTGAGATGATCATATGGTTTTTCTCCTTCAATTTGTTAATATGGTTTATCACATTGATAGATTTGCGTATATTGAAGAATCCTTGCATTCCTGGAATAAACCCCACTTGATCATGGTGTATGATCCTTTTAATGTGCTGTTGGATTCTGTTTGCTAGTATTTGGTTGAGGATTTTGCATCTATGTTCATCAGTGATATTGGCCTGTAGTTTTCTTTCTTTGTGACATCCTTGTCTAGTTTTGGTATCAAGGTGATGGTGGCCTCGTAGAAGGAATTTGGGAGTGTTTCTCCCACTGCTATATTTTGGAAGAGTTTGAGAAGGATAGTTGTTAGCTCTTCTCTAAATGTTTGATAGAATTTGCCTGTGAAGCCATCTGGTCCTGGGCTTTTGTTTGTTGGAAGATTTAAAATCACAGTTTCAATTTCAGTGCTTGTGATTGGTCTGTTCATATTTTCTATTTCTTCCTGATTCAGTCTTGGCAGTTTGTGCATTTCTAAGAATTTGTCCTTTTCTTCCAGGTTGTCCATTTTATTGGCATAGAGTTGCTTGTAGTAATCTCTCATGATCTTTTTTATTTCTGCAGTGTCAGTTGTCACTTCTCCTTTTTCATTTCTAATTCTATTGATTTGAGTCTTTTTTTCTTGATGAGTCTTGCTAATGGTTTATCTATTTTGTTTTTCTTCTCAAAGAACCAGCTTTTAGTTTTATTGATCTTTGCTATTGTTTCCTTCATTTCTTTTTCATTTATTTGTGATCTGATTTTTATGATTTCTTTCCTTCTGCTACCTTTGAGGTTTTTTTGTTCTTCTTTCTCTAACTGCTTTAGGTGCAAAGTTAGGTTGTTTATTCGAGATGTTTCCTGTTTCTTAAGGTGGGCTTCTATTGCTATAGACTTCCCTCTTAGAACTGCTTTTGCTGCATCCCATAGGTTTTGGGTCGTTGTGTCTCCATTGTCATTTGTTTCTAGGTATTCTTTTATTTCCTCTTTGATTTCTTCAGTGATCACTTGGTTATTAAGTACTGTATTGTTTAGCCTCCATGTGTTTGTATTTTTTACAGATCT